ATGCGTTAGACTGCAAGGTCGGTTTGAAGTGCAAGGCCAGAGGTTCCAGTTCACTGGTCACTCCTCGGAAACCCTATACAGGATCTCTATAAGTCAGAACCGACTTAACAGCACAACAACAACATACTTGATTTTAGCACCCTTTGCTTTTTCTCAGTACCACTTATTACCATTTATAATGATGTTTCTATGGCTTGACGTCAGTTATCCTCACCAGGTTTAAGTTCCATGAGTGTAGGGAATGCATCTTTGCTTTCATTCTTCTTCTTCTTTTTTTAAACTGTGTATCCAGCACTTTAAAAAGTGACTGTTTTTGTTGTTAAATGCTGTTGAGTTGGTTCTGACGCACAGCGACTCTATGTAACCTTCATTTCCAAGGAGCAACTGGTGGGTTTGAACCACCATCCTGTAGTCCATGAACAGTCCAGTCCTTATCCTATAGTGCTACACCAGTGACTAAAGCATACTAAAATACTCAATGACTATTTCATTATCCAATATTTTGTATATATGACAATGTTGCTGTCGAATCAAATCCAACTCATAGTGACACTATATTGGAATTCTGAGGAGCAGCTGGTGAGCTTGAACTGCTGACCTAGCGGCACACCAGAACTCCTTATAGGACAATTGTAGGAAAACAAAACGAAACTATCTGACTGTTCTGTGCATTAACACATGCCTAGGGGTGATATGAAAGAACACTGGCTATGATGGTTAATTAAGGTTATGTGTCCATTTGGTGGGGTCGTGACTCTCGTTGGTTTGGTAATTATGAAATGATGTGATTTGGCAGTTATGTAATGATGTAGTCATTCTTCCTGGTGTGACCTGATGCAGGCATCCTCTATTTTATCTTAATGCTAATTTTTGCATAACCACCTGGTCTTTGGAACCTAACCATGCCTGTAAGTGATGTTGTTGTGTGCCATGGAGTCGGTTCCGACTTATAACAACCCTGTACAGGGTTTCCGAAGCTGTAAATCTTTATGGGAGCAGAAAGCCTTATGTTTCTCCATTGTAACAGCTGGTAGTTTCGAACTGCTGACCTTGTGGTTCACAGCACGATTCATAACCACTACTCTACCAGAGCTCCCTTGTAAGTAGGTGTATTTATGTAAGACTCAATAATCTATTCATGGTTACCTAACTATTGAATTTATACTACTTATACATGGTCTATGGTATCAGATGTTCCTAGGATTAAAAAATGCCCTTACTGCCTATTTGTTTGGATACATTATTAATCTAAATTTTTGCTTACATCTTTATAAAATGAGGAAAAAGAGCATTCATGTCACAAGGTAATTGTGAAGGTAAATTATAATATATATATGTCTTTGGAGTCCTGGTGTGGCACTATAGAAAAAGCACTAGACTACAAGGTCAGTTTAAATTGCAAGATTGATGATAGAAATCCACCAGCCACTCCTTGGGAACACTAATAAGGTCTCTGTGAGTCAGAACTGATTTGATGGCACTTAACAACAGTATAGGGCTTTTAGCAGTGTCTGCAACATAGTAAAAGGTCAAAATCAGCTTTTTAATTCTTAATAGGATATTACTGCATTATTCCATCACCCAGCTTTATTCCACCTTTGTCAGAAACAAGAGCATTCTTTCAATGATCCTTGGTGGAAATTCCCTTCTTTCTTTAACCTCCATTTCTAATTAATCTGAAGGAAGGACTTTTTTTTTCCTTTGAGATACTTCCTGTATTATTTATCGCTTTCTTTCTATGTTAGTCCTCTTGCTAGAAATGTTGCCTATACCTTCTATAGCTATTTTAGATCCTATTATTTTTCAGGTTTCAGGCCATAGCCCCATTTCATGAGGCCTGACCTTTGTATTCCAGCACCCTATATCAAACAATTTCATATGTATTTTATCTACACATCTTTTTTCCTCCTTTAGAATGTGCAACCACCATTAGAGCAGATACAATGGCTTACTTTGCTTCTATCATATTTACAATGGCTTACTTAATTTTGTGTATAGATGTTCTATTAATGTCCATTTATTTGTCAGTATGTAATCCCCAAATTGGTAATTTCTGTGAGGAGTGCTTCTCTTTGTTGATTGAGGAATACAAAGAGAAAGAAAAATACTCTTAGAAGTTGTAAAGAGGTGAGAGAACACTAGAGTACAAAGTTGGATGTTGTAAAACACGTCTTGTTTTAAGATAATTATCTAGATTGGTCCCCTAGTTGTCACAGCTTTTAGATAAGTGAAGATTTGTTTTTACATTTCAATGCCTGTTTTCCTTTTTGTCTTTTGTTAAACAATTATAACTGTTTCTTTGATATGGTAGTTGTTTGAGGCTTAACTTCCGTACCTCCTGCAAAATGAAGCCGGGTGTGGGTCTGCCCCCATGCCACAAGTGTACAAAGCTTCCTTTACACAAGATCTTATCAGAGTTTCTAATGACACATTTAGTAGAATATATGCTATGTTTGCAACAGATCCCTCATGGTTAGGCTCTCTGAATGTATATCTAGAGGACCAAGGGCTCTTTATTCTATGCTGATAAAAATGGACTGCAAGAGCTGTCTTTTTTATATGCTCTTAATGGGGCTATTAAGTATACTGTGTATTGTGAATTCATGCTGTACTAGTGGGCATATTATAAAACCATAGTATTTATATCTTTTCCTAAGGCTTCTTTTTACTTACTATGGATATAAAATATAGCCATTTAGTCTTTATCTTTCTTTGCTTTCCTTTCTTTCTGTCTCTTTTTTCTCTATTGTGTTCTCTTTCCCCTGGTTTCTTTCTCATTTTCTTATTTCCATCACCTATGGTTAATGAGGGGGTTTTTTGTTTTGTTTTGTTTTGTATTTATGTAATGGCATCTGAAAATTTAAGTTGGAGTTACATTTTTTCACTTTAAAAATACAGTTTTAGAAGAACAAAGTTCAGGAGCTCAGCATTTGAACTTCCTAAGTATTCAGCAAATTTAAGAATGGCATTGTTCTTGAAAAAAACCTTAACTCTGGGGTACTGTTGTCATGAATGCATCCTTTTAATCAACTGATCCCACAGTAGGATATTATTTGAAAGAGTGAATGTAATAAAGCTGGATCATAGACTTCATTGAACCCTTTTTCAACAATGAGTTTATTTTGAATTTGCTTTTATATAGGTTTGCCTCAGCGAAATGAGGACTCACATAAGGACTTGTCAAAAATATATAGATAAGTATGGACCACTACAAGAACTTGGGGAGACAAGGTTTGTTTAAAGACAATACAGTTTAATGCTAACTTTGCTATCTCTGTAGTGAATTTAATAACCTGTAAAGTCAAACATTTTTATGAATATTTGTATGTAATTATGTTTAAGCTTTAACCATATTGCCTGTTAATTTAATCATTGTCTAAGAATTTTGCTCTCTCTGCTTCCAAAATTTTGTGTGGAGGGAACTGACTAGTACTGAAGAGATCAGAGCAGCTTCTTCAGACACATTTTATAGTAGGAAAATACAAAAATAGAATACAGAACTGTTACATTTCTGCTAGGCTTTGTTTTCTGACTTAGACTCCAGAAGTAGATTGTATCTAAGGAGTTAGTCATCTTCTTGTTCCATCTTCACCCTTTAGTTCCCCAGCTCATTCCCTTTAATTTTGCTGATAGGGAGTAGCATATCAGTATGTGGATATATATTAATAAGGGAAGAACAGGAATGGGAGAAGAGTTCTGAATTCTGTGCTTTTCTGGTGGGAAATCATATATTGGGACTGGGTAAGGGATGAAGGTGGCTAATGATCATTAACTTTCTTTTGAGAAAGGAAAAAAAAAATCTGAATCATTGTTATCCGTCATTATTATCTTATCAGAAGAGTAACTTAGCTGTATCAGAGTAATTGCAGTTTGGGTTCTGCCTCTACTAAAGAAATGATTTGTGTTCTCCTGTATAGGATAGTAGCTCTGAAACCATACAATTTGCTTATAGATTTAGCTACCTAATAGTACTCAGTATTTATAGAATTGCTTCGTCTCTCCTGAAGAAAGATGTTAACTCTGTTATATTTTAAGGACATGTACTAAAAATATAAGGAGTTCTGTTAGCATAGTGGTTACGAATCGGGCTGCAAACCTTAAGGTCAGCAGTTCTAAACTACCAGCTGTTCCGCGGGAGACAGATGAGGCTTTCTACTCCCGTAAAGATTTACAGCCTCGGAAACCCTGTACAGGGTCGCTATGAGTCGGAACTGACTCCACGGCACATAACAACAACAACTAAAAATATAAACTTAAAAATTTAACCTTAAAATCTAAATGATCATCATCCCATCCCTTTTGTTTTACTAGAATTTAAATGTCAGTGATATTTGTAAGAATACCCCAGAGTTTTAAGTAGCTAGAGATTGTTTTAAGAAAATATAGCTGCTATTTATTTTACAATTAGTTTCATACATGTATAAAATTTTAAATGAAGAATACTTTTAGTTATAAGCAGAGTGTAGTCTCTGTCAGATTGGCCACAAGGACCAATAGGAAGCAAAGATAACAAATGAGTTAATAAAGGATGACCATTTTAAATATGTGAGTTTGACTGAAAATTTGATGGTTTTATGATAATTTAATCATATAACAGTTGATTAATGCTTACATTTTAAATAGAAATCTTTGCTTTGTTGAAAGATTTATTCCCTGTTTAAAATTTAAAAATTCTTATGCAGGGAGCTTGTCCAGAGTACAAATCTTGAGGAGCAGGAAGTTACAGCTATGATAGAAAGTGAGCAAAACATGTCAAGATTCCATATTGTCTCTAGGAATTTAAGGCACCACTGCCCATTGAATATCTTGTGGATCACATATGTGATTTTACTTCTCCTAGTAGTCACATTGAAAACTATAAAAAGACCCAGGTGAAATTAATTTTAATGTATTTTACTTAACCACTGGGTCCGCTATGTGTCGAAACTGACTCGACAGCACATAACAACAATAATATAATCAAAATATTATCAAGTAATCAATATCAAAGTTATTGAGAAATTTTATATTCTTTTTTTTTTCATTTTGTTGTTGTTGTTAAGTGCCGTCGAGTCAGTTCCGAAACATAGCAACCCTGTATAGGTTTTCTGAGGCTGTAAATCTTTATGGGAGCAGAAAAACTCATTTTTCTCTCACAGAGCAGCTGATAGTTTCGAACTGCGGACCTTAAGGTTCGCAGCCCAAATAGTAAACACTATGCTACCAGAGCCCTTGAAATTCAATGTGCATTTTCCTCTTCCGGCACATCTTAATTTGGAGTAGCCACATTTCAAGGACTCAGTTGACACAGATGGCTAACAGCTACTGTATCAATGCAGATACAAGGACTATCTCTATGTGCACATGGAGTCCTGGTGTGGTACTGTGGGATAATGTACTGGACTGCAGGGTGATGTGAACCACAAGGTCAGCTGTTCAAGCTTACCAGCTACTCTTTGGAAACCCTCCACAGGGTCGCTATGGGTTGGAACTGACTTGACAGCACTAAACAACAACAATAACAATGTCCACGTAAAGATTTAGCAAGGTAGTTGTTGGTGTGTTGTGATCCTGAAACTAATCATTTACATTTATTCTTCCTGGATATGATAACCTGAGTTTAAATGTTTAAGATATACTAAATATTTAAATGGGGTTCTGGTGTGGCACTGTAGGATCAGCACTGGACTGCTAACTGCAAGGCCAGCAGTTCAACCCCACCAGTTGTTCCTTAGGAACCCCTATATAAGGTAAGAAGCTATAAGTCAAAACCAACTCAATGGCACTTAACAACAACTGTTTTAAAGTATGCTATTGGCGTAGTGGTTACGAATCGGGCTGCGAACCTTAAGGTCAGCGGTTCGAAACTACCAGCTGCTCCGCGGGAGAAAGATGAGGCTTTCTACTCCCGTAAAGATTTACACCCTCGGAAACCCTATACAGGGTCGCTATGGGTCGGAACCGACTCGATGGCACATAATAACAACAACAACATTGGAGATAGAAAACACATAACAGCTAATTCAGATATTCCAAATCAGGAAAGGGTAAAAGGAAATGGGTCAATAGTGATAAGGTCACTGTGAGTCAGCATCAACTCAATGGCAATGTGTTTGTGTGGGTTTAGGGACAACAGAGTCATGTGATGCTTAGTTTCTCAGTTAACTGGTATTCTCTTCAAAAAGAACAAGTGCCTCAAGTGTACTTGAACTGCTACTTTGGTTATTCTCCTGTGAAGAATAAACGAAAACTTGTTACCATTGAGTTGATTTGGACTAATAGCAACCCTGTAGAATAGAGTAGAATTACCCCATGAGGTTTCCAAGGCTACAGTCTTTGCAGAAGTAGACAGCCACCTCTTTCTCATGTGGAGTGGCTGGTGGATTTGAACTGCTGGCCTTTCAGTTAGCAGTCAAGTGATTAACCACTGCATCACCAGGGGTCTTTCTGTGAAGGATACATGTTTACAGTTCTAATGAGAAAAAAATCTAGGCACCAAAACCTTTGTCAATATAGAAAAAAATAATACCAAATCTGAAGAAGAACTAAGACTAGAAAGGATATTCACTTATATTTCTATTCTTAATCTCTAATTGCTGTTGTTAAATACCATCAAGTCAGTTCTGACTCCTATAGGGTTTCCAAGGAGCAGCTGGTGGGTTTGAACCATCAAACTGTGGTTCAAACCAACCTTGCGTTCTCATGCTTTATCCCACAGTGCCACACTAGGACTCCTTACCTGTAGTTAAGTGACTACTATTTAATTGCCAATAACTTTAGCAATATTTTATTCTGTTATTTCAAGGTGTGTGTGTCCATTTTGTGAGAGGGACTTGGATGAAGACAGCTTGCTGGATCACTGTATTACTCATCACAGATCGGAAAGGAGACCTGTGGTAAGAATTTTTGTTACTATATATTTTAGCAATGTCTGAATTCAGAAAGTATTAGCATAATAATATGCAAAAATATTGAGTTAAATAACTATTACTAATGTGCAATCAATCATTCTTTCACTTATGAAATTACACAAAATGATCTCTCACAGAGATAAACGAAGAATACCCAATACGAAAAGTAAAATCTAACTTCAAAAAAGTTCATGGGAAATGAAATAAAAAGATAATGGAATTTTTCCACTAACCTTTGATGCCCCCTGGTACAAACATGGTCACATTCTAAGTTAAAAAAGGAGTTGAAAATAATCCAAGTAGTGTTATCATGACAATATCAAGTCATTCATCTTTATTAATCAATCCATTGTTTTAATTTTATTATAGTCTGACTCTTTAGCCATAAGCTTGCATATTGAATCACCATTCTCTAGATACACTGTAAGCTCTGTCTTTTTAAAATTTCCAACCTGGCATTTTGGTTCTAATCTATTTTTATAATTTAAGAATGTTATATAATCATGAGGTTAAACCAGAGTGTATCCATCATCATTTACTTCGCCACTTTACTACTTTTGGAAACTTGAATTGTTACCAGTTGGGTAAAACCTCTAAATAGCACAATGGTGGTGGTGGTGTGTCATCAAGTCTAATCTGACTCCTAGTGACCCTGTAGGGTTTCTGAGGCTGTAAATTTTTACAGAAATGGAAAGCCTCATCTTTCTCCTGTGGAGCGGCTAGTGGATTCTAACCGCTGACCTTGTGGTTAGCAACCACATGCATAATCCACTGTGCTACCAGGGCTCCTTTAATAGCACAGTAACTACAAAAAGAAAACCACTGCCATCGAGTCAGTTCCCACTCCCAGTGGCCCTATGTAAGGTTTTGGAGGCTGTAAATCTTTACGGGAGCACAAAGCCTCCTCTTTATTCCGAAGAGCAGCTGGTGGGTTTGTACTGCAGACGTACGGTTAGCAGTCCAGCACATAACCCATTATACGTTCCTGGCACCAAATTCTGCAAGGTAGGTAATTTCGCCATATCACAGAAGAGGAAATGTATATGGTTTTGTCCAACAGCTAGTAAGAGCTGGTGCTAGGATTTTAATCCCATGTTGTTTTACTTAAAAGACTATGCAGCATAGCTGTCTTGATATTCATATTCCAAGCGCCTCACACTTAGTAAGGACTTCCGGCGTGACACTGTGGGATCCGCCCTGAACTTGTAACCACAAGATCAGTAATTCAAACCCACCAGAGCTGCTCCTCGGAAACCCTTCACAAGGTGGCTGGGAGTTGCAACTAACTTAATGGCACTTAACAACGAAGGACCCATAGTAGAGTGTTGAATGATTACAGCTTTATAATTAATGATCCTTCTCCCACAGTACAAAAGTTAATGCTGCTTTTCTGTTCAAAGATTTCCCGGCCTCAGCTCTTCACTCATTCCTATCCAGTGGTCTCTGCATGGAATAAATGTTATTTTGGGATACATGGTGTCACCTGTTAACTGAGATAGCTAGAGTGTTGTTGTTAAGAGCTCTCCAGTTGGTTCTAACTCACAGCGACCCTGTATAGAATATTCAAGGAGCTGGTGGGTTTGAACTGCCAACCTGTGGTTCGCATCCCCGTGCTGATCCTACGGCACCAGCTAGAGCATTAAAACAATTATAAAGAAGTCATAGTTAAAATGTAACTTTATTGAAAAATAAGACATAGATTAACAGAATGGATGGAACAAAATTCAGAAATAGATGATTATTTTTACAAAGTGAACACTCTGAAAATGAAGCCCCCATAAAAATAAGAAAGAAAAAAGTTTTATTGAACCTTCATTCAGTTTTAAAGCAAGACAAATATTATCATCTCAGCTGGTAAATTGGATACTGTTTAAAAAGAACATTGGATTGTTCATTAAGAGACCTAGTTTCCAATTGTGATACATATCTGATGCTGTGTAAACTTGAGCTACTTCCTTCTCTGAAATTAAATTTTTTGACAAAATACGGAAAATAATAATTAATTGACTTTTTGTGGAGATTAAATGAAAATACTACTTAATTTAATGCCCAACACACACTTGGCACTTGGATCTACATTTCATGTTTTTTAAAAAATGAATACATGAAGAAATTTTTAAATTTTGAAAAAATACAAACCCAGGTTGAAATAATAAGAGCGGTGGTAGTGGTGGTGATTGTGTGCCGTGGAGTTGATTCTGACTCATAGCCACCCTATGTAGGGTTTCCAAGGCTGTAAATCTTTGCTGAAGCAGAAAGCCTCATCTTTCTCCTGCATAATAAGAGTGGGTTTTTTTGTTGTTGTTAAGTGCCTTTAGTTGGTTCCAACTCATAGCAACCCTATATAGGGTTTCCAAGGAGCAACTGGTGGGTTTGAACCACCGACCTTGTGGCTCACAATCTAGTGCTGATTTTCACTCCTATTCCAACTCATAGTATCTCTTTAAGGCAGAATTGAACTGTCCCATAGGGCTCACAAAGCTTCTTTACAGAAGCAAACTGCCTTATCTTTCTCGTGCATTGCGCCTAGTGGGTTCAAACTACTGATTTTGTGTTTACCAGTTCCAACTCTTAACCCACTGTGCCACCAGATCTCCTTATATTACCTGTGTTATTATTAGGTGCCATAGGATTGCTCCAACTCAGAGCTACAACAAAACAAAATAACTTCCCAGTCCCAGCCATCTTCACTGTTGTTATCCTTGAGCTAACTGTAGCCACTGTGTCAATCCATCACAAAGGGCGTGTTCCTCTTTTTCACTGAACTTCTATTTTACCAAACATGACTTCCTTTCCCAGTAATTGATTGCTTCTAACACTATGTCCGAAGTATCAGAGAGAGACAAAGTCTTGCCATCCTTTCTTCCAAAACAACTTTTCTTGTTCTTCTGGCAGTCCATGTTACTTTCAGTATTCTTAGCCAATTGTTGATGTTGTTGTTAAGTGCTGTTGAGTTGGTTCTGACCCATAGCGGCACTTGGGTTTCTGAGGAGTAGCTGGTAAACTGGAATCACTGACCTTGTGATTCAAACGGACTTTGCAGTCCAGCTTTAACCCACAGCACCACACCAGGACTCCTCTTAGCCAATACCACAATTCACATGCATCAGTTCTTCTTCATTCTTCTTTATTCTAGGTACAGCTTTCACATGCATATGGAGTGATTGAAAATACAATGGCTTAGGTCCTGCACACCATAATCCTAAAACTGACATCTTTGCTTTTTAACATTCTGCAGCAGATTTGCCCAGTGGGATATGTCATTTGATTTTTTTTTTTTGGTACCTAGCTTTGACTGTAGATTAAATTTCTCAAGACCATCCTGTCCTTCATAAAGAGCAGGCACATTATATAGAGTAAGTTACATTTGAATGTACACGTCATCTGTTTTAACATCAAGATAGCATTCTTTGGAAAAAGAAACAATAAGACAATAAACTTCCTCAAACATTCTACCTTTAGGGTCTCAATTGTTTTATTTCTGAGATCACTATCTGGGTGGGCTTAAGCACATCTTATTCTCCTGGTCCTGTTCGCTTCCTAGAACCAGAAAGTTGTTTTAGCTAATTTTTAAACTTCCTCATTTGCAGGGTTCTCATTTGAAACCTAATGACTAAACCGACTCCATTTTATTTAGATAGATCCATGCTATCAAAAATGTCCATGATTCGCCATGAATCACACAGTTGAGTGCCCTTGCATAGTCAACAAAACAAAAGTAAACATCTTTGTAGGAGTCCTGGTGTGACACTGGACTGCTAATTGCAAGTTCAGTGCTTCAAACCCACCAAATTCTCCTCAGAAACAATATAGGGTGGCTCTGAGTTGTAATCGACTCAGTAGCATTTGACAACAAACATTTTTCTGGTATTCTTTGCTGTCAGCCAAGATCCACTTGATATCAGTAATGATATCCCTTATTCCACATCTGAATCTGGCTTGAATTTCTGGCAGCTCCCTGTTAATGTACTGCTGCAACCATTTGTGAATTATCTTCAGCAAAATTGTACTTGCATGTTATGTTAGAAATATTGTTCAATGATTTCCATATTTTGTTAGACCACCTTTCTTTGAACTGGGCAGAATTATGGATCTTTTACTGTTATCTGGCTATGTAGCTAGCTGCCTTCCACATTGCTTGACATAGACTAGTGAGTGCATCCAACAGTGCATTACTTGTTAAACCATTTCAACTAATATTCTGTCAATTCCTGGAACCTTGTTTTTCACCAAAACCTTCATTGTAGCTTGGACATCTTCCTTAAAAACCTTTAGTTCCTGAGCATATGCTACTTCCTGAAATGGTTCAACATCGACTAATTATTTTTTGTGCAATTACTCTGTGTATTCCTTCCATTGTCTTTTGATGCTTACTGCATCATTCAATATTTTGCCCATAGAATCCTTCAATATTTCAACTCAAGGCTTGATTTTTTTCTTTAGTTCTTTCAGCTTGAGAAATACTGAGCATGTTCTTCCCCTTTGTTTTTCTAACTCCAGGTATTTTGCACATTTTGTTGCAAATCTTGACTGTCTTCTCAAGCTGCCCTTTGAAAATTTCTGTTCAGCTCTATTATTTCATCATTTCTTCCAGTCACTTTAGCCTCTCCAAGCTCAAGAGCAAGTTTCAGAGTTCACTTTGGTCTTTTTATTTTTCTTTCCTGTTTTTTTAATGACCTTTTGTTTTCTTCATAAATGATGTTCTTAATGTCATCTCACAAACCCATTGGACTTTGGTTGTTAGTGTTCAATGTGTGAAATCTGTTCTTAAAATGATCTCTAAATTCAGGTGTGATATACTCAAATTCATATTTTGGCTCTAGTATACTTGTTATAATTTTTTCCACCTTTAACATGATAACTTGCATATGAGCAATTGATGTCTATTGCACAGTCAGCTCCTGGCCTTGTTTTGGCTGATGATCTTGAGCATCTACATCATCTCTTCCCCCATATGTAGTCAGTTTGGTTTCTGTGTATATCTCGTATATAGTCGTCATTTGTGTTATTGAAAAAGGTATTTGCAATGAACAAGTTGTAGTCTTGCAAAATTCTGTCTTGCAATCTCCAACATCATTTCTATCACCAAGGCCATATTTTCCAGCTACCAACCCCACTCCTCTTTGTTTCCAGTTTCCTGATTCCAATCACTGTAATTACCAGTGCATCTTGATTGCATATTTGATCAATTTCAAACAAAGAAATTAGAAGCCTTCAATTTTTTCCCATCATTTTGGTTTCAATGGTTGGTACATAAACAGATACTAGCCTATCATAGGCAGCATTATATATATTAGCCTTGAAGAAAATGCAAATTAAACCATGATGAGCTACCAATGCACACCTGTTAAAATTACCCCCCCCCCAAAAAAAAAACAACAAAAACCAACCACATACATATGGGTTCCTGATGTGGTGTTGTAGGCTTAGCACTGGACTGCTAACTGTAAGGTTTGCAATTCACATATATAGATACAGAGAGAATACAAAGGATAAAGAAAAACTGGACCATTGACACATTGCAGGTGGGAATATAAAATGATAAAGCTACTCTGGAAAACAGTTTGGTAGTTTCTTACATTATATAGCCCAACAATCATCTGCCTAGAAATTTATCTTAGAGAACTGTAATCATGCAAAGGTCTGTACACACATTTTATATAAGCTTTATTTATAATAGCCCAAAATTGTAAACAACCTAAATGTTCTTTAAAGGGTAAATGCATAATCAATTTGTTAATAACAAGGAACAAACCATTGGTGTACACAACAACTTGAAAAAGTCTCAAGGTCATTATGAGTGAAAAAAAGCCAATTTCAACAAGTTAAATAATGTGTAATTCAGTCTTACTCTCAAAATGGCAAAGAAAAAAAAAAAAAAAACCCAAACAAATGTCGTTAACTGTCGTTGAGTCAGTTCCAACTCGTAGAGTTTCCAAGAAGTGGCTGGTGGGTTTGAAATGCTGACTTTGCGGTTAGCAATCCTGTGCTTATCCTATAGCATCACACCAGAATTCTAATATAAGGAAATAAATGTAATTTTATTTTTTAATGTTCCTTTAATATTTGTGTAATTTTAAAACATGCTGAGGAATGGCTAATAGATTCACCAAGTTAAAATTTACTTTGTCAAATGGTTACTTACTTTTTAAAATTCAGACATAGTAATGATTTCAAAAACTTTCTTGAACTCTTGATCTTGTTTATTTCCAGTTCTGTCCACTTTGCCGTTTAATACCTAATGAGAATACAAGCATCTTCAATGGCAGTTTAATAAGACATTTGCAAGTCCGTCATACTTTATTTTATGATGATTTCATAGTAAGTATATTGTCTTATGTTTAAACTATGTTTTCATGCTGTGTTAAAGTTACCTTTTTAATTCAAGTGAATAAAATTCTAGGGAAAAAATGCTGTAACTAAAATGTTATTAACATCCAAAAATTTTTGATGTTTTATAAATTTTATTATTAACATCAAAATAGTTATCTGCCTTGGACAAAATTATTTTCTTTGTGAGGTAGGTAATCAACCATCGTATAAAAATCCAGGTTTAGCTTCTAAACTATTGTTTTAATTTCTATTCTAGCTCCTCCCGATATAGTTATACTTTTATGAAGTTTGAAACTCGTCTACCTGAGATAAAATCACATCAGTAATGAGATTCCTAATAGCATTAGTTCTGTGCCCCAGTGTTCTGATAGAACATTGAGTGAATAACAGATAGGACCTTATCAGTGTGATAACACAAATGGGCCTTATTTTATTTAAGGTGTATAAAACTCAAAACTTCCGTTTTTTTCAAACTCAAAAAAAAACGATATGAAAAAAATTTTTAATTAAAAAAATGATATGGAAATTTTTTTAATTTACAAAAGTAGACGGAGTAGTATAATGAACATTCATACATCAACTAGTGTCAAGAACTACCAACTCATCACTAAAATTGTTTCGTTAAGAATTATTTTTAGAGTAAAATTATATGTAGTACGAGTAGCTTTATTCTTATAACTATAGTTCACATTTTCAGAAATGATTAGAACAAGGAAAAGTTAACATAGCCTTTGCCCTATTTCACCCCATGGATTATTTATTGTGTGAGGGTACTACATTATCCCTCAGCGCCTTTCAGTTTGTCCTTTCATGGCTATCTAAAATGCCTTTTATGGGGAAATCACTAATGGTCGCATTTATTATATTATATTGTTTATTTTATATAAATACATTTAATGTTAAGAGGTAAATTTAAATTTGCATATAATTTCCGCATGCTTTTGACTCTTCATTTCAAGCAGTTTCAAAATAACACTGAATAATAAATATTGTTGTTAAGTGCCGTCGAGTCAACTCCTTGAACCCCACCAACCTTGCGGTTCAAACTGACTGTGCAGTCCAGTGCATTAACCCATATGTGACATGTTTATTGAGACATAGAAATCTATGTATTGTTGATTAAAAACTCGGTTAGATCAAATAAAAACTTTAAACTCCAAATCAATATTATATAACTATGACAATCAATTGATAGGCAATAAAATGAAACTGACTCCTTGATATCACAGTGTGGTTAAGCGCGTGGTTAGCCCACTTAATCCTTTCTGAAACCCACATTGGGCTTCCGTAGAGATTTACAGCCTAGGCGAAGCCCCATAGGACACTTGCACTCTGTTCCACAGGGTAGCTATGAGTCGGAATAGACTCTGCAACAACCGGTTTGGTTTCTTAAAAAATTAAATAGAAAAAATAACCACAAAAGTTCTGGACTGTAACAGGCTTTTTCGTTCCCTATAAAATGAGGGAATTGCTTTCACCGTCATCCTTCTGTTTTTGAAATAATATTGACTTGGATCAATATTAACTCTACAGCAACAGGTTTGGTTTTTAAAAAATGAAATAGAAAAAGCAAACCGCAAATTAAAGTTCTCGGCTCTGTAACAGGTTTTTGTGTTGTCATGTGCCGTGGACTTGGTTCCAACTCATGTTGTTGCTGTTGTTAAGTGCCTAAGTGCCGTTGAGTTGGGTCCGACTCATAGCAACCCCGTATAGGGTTTCCAAGGAGCAGCTTAGAAAGTCTGAACCACCAACCTTGTGGTCCATTGCTTTATCCTCCAGCGCCACAGCAGGGCTCCATGCATAGCTACCCTATATACAGTTTCGGAGGCTGTAAATTTTTGTGGAAGCAGAAATCCTTCTCTTTCTCCTTAGGTGCAGCTAGTAGGGTCAAACCACAGCCTCGTGGTTCGAAGTCCAGTGTTTGTCATACAAAACCACCTCATTCCCACAGGCTTTTTGTTCTTTGTAAAATGAGGGAAAAGCTTTGACTCTCATCCTTTAGATTTTTAAACACTATTGACTTTGGTTTTATATTTATAATCATTTTTCTTTATTATAGGATTTTAACATAATTGAGGAAGCTCTTGTCCGAAGAGTCCTAGACCGATCACTTCTTGAATATGTGAATCACTCAAACACCACATAACTTTGCTAAAAGGAAGGTGAAGGACACCTTACAATTGCACCATTTGTTGAGATGCTTGCTGCTTTAATAATTGGAAGAAAATTGTCAGTGTTTGATGGGCAAAATGTACTACAAAATTAAATGTTTGTCCATGTTTATTGTTATATTGCATTTAAAAACTGCTTTCATTTTGATGGTAAAAATCTATTTTACATTCTTGAGTTTCTTAGACAATTAACAACAAAAAATATTGTCCAACCATTAAGGTTAAGGAATAGAATGTAGATCTAGGTAAAGGAAGTTCCCAGGTTAGGACCTTCAGATTTACTGACAACTTCTACTTGCCCTTCAAATTTATGTAAAACTGCCTTCACTTGCAAAACATTTGAGTCAACCCCTACTTAACAACAAGCACTTTCCCACAACCACCTCTTGTACTTACAGCCTTTAAATCATTGAAAAGCATTGGAGCCTTTTCTTGGGCTAAAGTAAGGCTAAATAAGAACTGTAAGAATCTGTTCTGACTTACCTTCAAGTTTCATTTAAAGACACTCTTAAGGAATGAACAGAATCATTTGTAACCTAGAGATTGCCTGTATATGGAACATTATTTGCAAATTGTATGATACTGTATAATGCTACATATTAATAACTACCTTTATGGTTGGACAAGATCATTTCGGTTTATGTAAAAAGTTGGGAAGTAAAACAAAGTGTGGTCATTCAAGGGAATACAAAATATTTAACACTTATGTTCTATTTTATGATAGAATAACATCAATAATCTTTTGTGGAAGTAGGAAAGGAAAATATTGGAAGTCAACAAAGTCTATTTAACCCAATTGTATTACATATACTGTAACAAAATTAATTCTGTGTTAGGACTGTATACCTAATTCTCTGACTTCTTATAACTATACACACAAAATAATTTAATATTTTTGAAATATTTATAGCTTATTATTTGAAGTATTTCTATAATTTAGGCAATTTCTTAAGAACCATCAGCTAATATTTATAAATTGTGGTTGTCATGTGCCATGGAGTTGGTTCTGACTCATAATGACTCTGTATAGCGTTTCCGAGGCTGTAAATATATGGGAGCAGAAAGCCTCATCTTTCTCCCACAGAACAGCTGGTAGTTTCGAACTGCTGACCCTGAGGTTAGCAGCCTGAGACGTACTCAAATCCATACTTTTAGTGGAAAACATTAAAGATTTTTGTTTTTTTAATTTTAATCTTTTTAAAAATTGTATAGTAAAACACAAATACTGAAAACCAAACACAAAATGTACAATAACTTAATGCGTTACTGTAAGAAAGCCGTTCTTTTAGAACTCTCCCAGATGTCCTCCATATATCCTATCAGTTACAACTATTCTTGCTGACCACACGAAGTCACAACAGTGACTTCCATACTAATAATTTACTTGTATTTCTTTATCATTTTATCACCTCCAAGTGTGTATCTCTAAATACTTTATTTAAATCTTACACATTAAAACATTTTTATTCAGCATGTCTTATGTCTCTTTTAAATCTATAGGTTCCCCTTCTTCCTTTATTTTTCTTATTGAAGAATCTGGGTCTGACCTATAGTTTCCCAGTTTGTGTTTTGCTGATTGCCTATTCATGGTGCCATTCAGCATGTTCCTCTGTCCTCTGGGTATTGGTAAGTGGATCCAGAGACTTGAGCAGATTCAGGTACAATTTTGTTGATAAGACTATAAAGGTCATGGTGTGTCCTTTCATTGTTGTTAAGTGCCGTTGAGTTGGTTCTGACTCATAGCGACCCTGTATAAGGTGTCTAAGGAGTAGCTGTTGTATTTGAACGGCCGACCTTGTGGTTTGCAGTCCAGTGCTGATCCTACACCAACCACCACACCAGGAGCCCTTTCATTAGATGGCACAAAATGTCTGATTCTCATTTTTGTGATGGTAGTGGATATTCATTGCCTAGATATTAATTCATTGTTGTTTGGAGAATATTCTAATTCCAGCATTTCTTTTTATTTGCTAGTCAGAACATTGCTTTAATGATATGCTTCCCATGTATAGGAAATAGAAAATACTTTTCCCTTGTATTTACCAATTTTCAAGATAATGAACTTTTTACTTATATTCCAGAGATAACTGTCTCTTTTTTAAGTATTATGAACTGATGGATTCAAACATATTCAATGGGCTTCAACCCATTGTCAATACTACTTTATTGAAGCTCAGATTTTCCTATGAAAGTCTTACCAAGCTGACTGAGTTCTTTTGACACTACCCTACTAGTATTTAATCATTTCTTTGTTATTGCATATGACAAGTTGTTCAAAAATCAATGTTTCCTATCCCAGACCTGGAATCAGTTATTTCTCTAAGAAACCAAGAATTTTGTTTGTTGATTTGTTCGTTTTTTCAGTATAAACTGGTGTTTTAAAACCATAATCTGGGCTCAATACTACTGGGTTTTTTATAATTTCTAGGGGAGAATTAAGAACTATAACTTATATGTTTTGAAAGATAAAACAATTCATGAGTTTGTTTTGATATATCTAAATAAAATTCAGTGCTACGGGGGTATTTCTTTAACCTCTTTATTATATCCTTATCTCTATTCTTCTCTACTGAGAATCCTGGTTTTTAAGGACACAGGGAATAATGATAAAAAACCTTGCAATTATTCATTTGTTTTATCTACATTACACATTCAACAGTCTTAGAATAATAATACTATTATAATCACCACCAATATGATGAACTGAAATACTTAAACTTTTTTATTTGTTCTTTCCTTTCCCCCATTTTTAATAATTATTCTATGTCAACATTTTCAGAACATACTAATGTGACATACTCTCTCTCCCTTTTATACCCTGTCTAGTCTTTGTTTAAGTAATTATATATTTAATGCTCATTGACAGTCCTTATTTGATGGCCCTGGTTATTTTTCATGCCTTGCTCATTAATAATAGATCCAGGACATAGATTATGGTTTCTTTCTTGAAAGAAAGTCAAGACGAGTGATATCAACTCCTGACAAATGTTATTTGGCTAGTGTTGACTTTTTCATTCCAATAATTTATAGACTAATTTGTTCCTTACACGTAAGTGTAGTCATAATAATGGGACCCCATATTTGCTATAATAAACATCCAGTGCCGCTTAAAACTCTTGCTTACTATTCTTCCATCCTTGGTAATTTGGGAAAGATCAAACCGAGTGATGTCTAGAGGGTCTCCTATCCTTCCTCTCCGAATTTCAAGCTTGCTTCTCACAGCTGCCAACAAATAGCAACAGATGTCACTCCTCTCTTCCTCCAATGTAGATGAACCAACCATCTGATAAAGCAAACCCTGCTGGGCTAGAGCACAAGGAGCACTTTTCAAAGGCAATCATAAGACTGAAAATCTAGTCCCTGAACCAGAATAGATTTCTGACCAGTAGTACTGACTATCCAGCCAGTAAATCTTCATTAATTCAGAGAAAGAAAGAAAGCATCTTAAAAATCTGTAAAACGAAAAAATGTTCAACTTTAAAACTGCATTTTAAGTAAAGCATTAAGGCATCTACCATTTTTGGCCTTAGTGCAACCGGTCTAAACCTTACCCCTGGACTCCTTTTAGGATAATTTCGCCACCTACAGGGCAAATTAGGTGCTGGCACCTAAATTATTTTGCATTCTGAATGGATGGCCTGAATTATTTTGAGTTCTAACATGGTTTCACTGTGCCTTTAACCTTTTATAGAAAAGAATTTATAATTCATTATTTTTTTAAAAAATGAAAATCAATTTTAAAGCCATTGACTACTAACAAAGTAGTTTCTCTTACTTTCTTTGCAGTGCCTCAGAATGCAAATTTGTCAAGGCCTTCTATGGGAAAAAAAGATTCACATGTTACCCTCCAAAAGTTAAATTTTCCTAACCCTATAGATAACTAGGAGTCCTGGTGTGGCACTGTGGGTTAATGTCTGTACTGCAAAGTCATTTGAACCACAAGGTCGCAACTGACTTGACGGCACTTCACAAAAGCAACAATAGATAACTATGGAGATTTCCTTTCATATATTTTTTAAATGTTGGAAAATTGGATTGATTGTGAATCTATGGTGATGATAGGATTTCTAGCTCAGATATCTGACCCTGTCACCAACAAACACTCTTCATTACTTTTACTGGATGCTAAGTGCCTTTCGGGAACACTGGTGGTGCCTTGGCTAAAGTGCTTGACTGTTAACTGAAAGGTCAGTGGTTTGAAACCACCACCCAGTCAGTGGAAGAAAGATGTAGCAATTTGCTTCTGTAAAGATTTACAGCCTTGGAAATCCTAAGGGGCAGGTCTATTAGGGTCACAATCCACTTGACAACAATAGGTTTGGTTTGGTTTTTTTAAAAAGTGTTTTTCATTTTTAAATGAGCATCCTCCAATTATTGAATGTTTATCTCATCATATCTGTACCTTAAATCCTTAAATTTATTTTTTAAAGTCACAAATAAATACATTTTGTTATTCAACTGCAAATAACTGTATAATTATATGAATTTTAAATGTACAATTTTTTTCCTGTATATATGTATTATTTTCAGAAGTATCAAATGGCAGGACCATTGCTTTCATTAAAATACCTACTGTTTTAAATAGTGATCTTGATTTTTTTAATACAAATCTAATAAACTTTTTAAATTGCATTGTTTAGCAACAATTATCACAAAATTATACATTCATGTAGGCCAGTGATTCTTAATCAGTTTTACTTCCCAAAGGATATTTGACAATGTCAACAGTTTAAGAAGCATCCGGGTGGCACAAACGTTTAAGTGCTTAGCCACTAACCAAAAGGTCTCCAGTAACCACAAGCTGCACCACCGGTAAAAGACCTGGGTGATAATTTTTGTAAAAATTAACAGCCTTCTGTTTCTGTAAAAGTCTACAGAAAACCCTGCGGGAAAGTTTTGCAGTGTCCTAGAGGGTCACTATGCATTGGAATTAATTAGAAACAACAACAATAATTTTAGTTGTCTTACTAGGGGT